TAGTGATACCGGATACGTATAATGGAGCAACAATTTAGAATAGCTCCAAGTAGAACAGTTATTTGAAATGGCTCCAAATATAGCATAGTAGCTGCATCTACAAGATGACATAGAGATTTGCGAAGTACATACGGATCTGAAAGATTCAGACCCGTTGACTATAACATCTCTCACAAGCACAACATGTTCAAACCCAGAACTCATCGAGTGTAATCACATGGTAATGTGAACTAGATTATTGACTCTAGTAAACTCTTTGGGTGTTAGTCACATGGGGATGTGACCTTGAGTGTTAATCACATATCGATGTGAACTGGATTATTGACTCTAGTGCAAGTGGGAGACTGTTGGAAATATGCCCTAGAGGCAATAATAAATTAGTTATTATTATATTTCCTTGTTCATGATAATCGTTTATTATCCATGCTAGAATTGTATTGATAGGAAACTCAGATACATGTGTGGATACATAGACAACACCATGTCCCTAGTAAGCCTCTAGTTGACTAGCTCGTTGATCAATAGATGGTTACGGTTTCCTAACCATGGACATTGGATGCCGTTGATAACGGGATCACATCATTAGGAGAATGATGTGATGGACAAGACCCAATCCTAAGCATAGCACTAGATCGTGTAGTTCGTATGCTAAAGCTTTTCTAATGTCAAGTATCATTTCCTTAGACCATGAGATTGTGCAACTCCCGGATACTGTAGGAGTGCTTTGGGTGTGCCAAACATCACAACGTAACTGGGTGACTAAAAAGGTACACTACAGGTATCTCCGAAAGTGTATGTTGGGTTGGCACGAATCAAGACTGGGATTTGTCACTCCGTGTGACGGAGAGGTATCTCTGGGCCCACTCGGTAGGACATCATCATAATGTGCACAATGTGATCAAGGAGTTGATCACGGGATGATGTGTTACGGAACGAGTAAAGAGACTTGCCGGTAACGAGATTGAACAAGGTATCGGGATACCGACGATCGAATCTCGGGCAAGTATCATACCGATAGACAAAGGGAATTGTATACGGGATTGATTAAGTCCTTGACATCGTGGTTCATCCGATGAGATCATCGTGGAACATGTGGGAGCCAACATGGGTATCCAGATCCCGCTGTTGGTTATTGACCGGAGAACGTCTCGGTCATGTCTGCATGTCTCCCGAACCCGTAGGGTCTACACACTTAAGGTTTGATGACGCTAGGGTTATAAAGGAAGTTTGTATGTGGTTACCGAATGTTGTTCGGAGTCCCGGATGAGATCCCGGACGTCACGAGGAGTTCCGGAATGGTCCGGAGGTAAAGATTTATATATGGGAAGTCCTGTTTTGGTCACCGGAAAAGTTTCGGGGTTTATCGGTAACGTACCGAGACCACCGGGAGGGTCCCGGGGGTCCACCAAGTGGGGCCACCAGCCCCGGAGGGCTTCATGGGCCAAGTGTGGAAGGGGACCAGCCCCAGGTTGGCTGGTGCGCCCCCCCACAAGGGCCCAAGGCGCAAGGGAGAGGAGAAGGGGGCAAACCCTAGGGCAGATGGGCCCTAAGGCCCATCCTGGTGCGCCTCCCTCTCCCCCTCCCCCTTGGCCGCCCCCCTTAGATGGGATCTAGGCTGGCTGCCACCCCTAGGGGTGGAAACCCTAAAGGGGGCGCAGCCACTCCCCTTCCCCTATATATAGTTGAGGTTTGGGCTGCTCATAACACGCGAGTTCCTCTCCTCTATATGACGCAGCCCTGCATCTCTCCTTCCTCCTCTCCCGTGGTGCTTGGTGAAGCCCTGCAGGATTGCCACGCTCCTCCACCACCACCACGCCGTTGTGCTGCTGCTGGATGGAGTCTTCCTCAACCTCTCCCTCTCTCCTTGCTGGATCAAGGCATGGGAGACGTCACCGGGCTGTACGTGTGTTGAACGCGGAGGTGCCGTCCGTTCGGCACTAGGATCTCCGGTGATTTGAATCACGACGAGTACGACTCCTTCAACCCCGTTCTCTTGAATGCTTCCGCTTAGCGATCTACAAGGGTATGTAGATGCACTCTCCTTCCCCTCGTTGCTGGTCTCTCCATAGATAGATCTTGGTGACACGTAGGAAAATTTTGAATTTCTGCTACGTTCCCCAACACATTGCACGTGCACGATTATTAGTGTGTTGTTGCAAGTGTTTGATATTTTGTGGCTTGGCTCTGCTGGTCAAAGTCTAGGGGAGGAAACTTTGATTAGAGAAAGGTGCTATCTGAAAAGAGTCTCACATTCAGCAATTCAAATCTGTCAGTGAAATAAATTGTATGTTCTTTAAAAATGTATTTAGGGAGAGCTGGGTCACACGGCCATCTTTCGTTTCAACAACAAGTAGTCATGCCAGTCAGATGGCTCATTAACTTTTGTAACATAACCAGACTAGTTGGGTATGCTCATGAAAATAATAACCGAGGACATTGCTCCTTTCTAATTTCGACAAAGAATTAGTTTCGTAGGATTTGTACATCCAACTACAAACTAACATGAGCACTGTATGTTTACTAAATTTCTTTGGACATAGGAGTGATATTTCCTTTCTTTGTAGTAGATATATATTTTGGCCTCTCCTGAATAGTTGTTAATATTTTTTTATAACAAGGCTGAAGACTCTGATGCAGATGCGCGCAAGAGCAGCGGTGGCCACTGCCTATAAGGGGAAGCGGGTTGTGGTAAAGGATCATACATAGCTCCGGTAGCACTACACCGTCATCCTATGCCTCATCGGCCCATCGGTGATGGCGACTTGCACGAGGAGGCCGCCGTGTAGAAGGACAAGCAAAGGGTGGCAAAGGAGAGAACATGGCGCCAACAACACCATGTAGTAGTCATGTGCCTCACTTGTCTGGCGCCGACAGTACTTGTGCGAAGGGTTCTTGGTTTGTGGTGTAAGGGGATCTGATGTAAAGGTAAGCACGAAACTGAGGTTTATGTTAGTTATTGATTGGTGTTCTATATCTTTAGTGATCACTATAAAGTTGAATTTGCCGAATCGAGTTGTTTTTGTGCATCAATGTGTTAACAACCGTATAACTATAACAATTCAATAGCCCCAACAATTCTCAGTAGCAGTGCAAACTAAACCATTAAACAATCAAATCATAACTAGCCTTTCACTGTTAGACTGATTTTGCTACGTTGAAGAGAATAAGCACCGAAAGCATGCTTGCATTCACTTTAGCTCATTCATTGTGTTACAGGGCAGCGTGTTCACTACCGTGCATGATGCTCGCTGCTTCACTGTCAAGTGATTGTTGTTTTGACCAATCTTATAAGATTTGTTTGAAGGAAAAACTTGTGATTTCTTGAAACTAAAAGTAACTTCCGACAACAATTTAGTAGTTTTTATAAGTTGGTCTGTTTGGAGTTTTTAATAACCTTTATTGTACATATCCTTGTAGAGTAAGTGTTTCTGATGGAGCTTATTTGACTGATTTTGCTACTGAGTTGCCACATTTTGAGGCGCTGCAATTGAAGAATACAACATTTTTTGGTAAGGATGTTAGTGCATTCATATATATTGAAAAGAGATGTATTTGCTTTTTGTTGGAGGTTTTCTATACATTTCATACACCATAACTTTGTAGACAAAAATTTGCTTGCTAACCATCAATGTCAACTTCTGCTATGCCCCTTTTGCTTAGTGCATGTGTGGCCACTTAAGGAGTACTTTCACTCAAGAGTAGTACTCCCTTCGTCCCATAATTATGGGACCGAGGGAGTATGTGTTTATCAATAAAGGTTTTTTAGTCTAGTTTAAAAAATTATGTGTCTTGCTAATATTTTGAATCTATACCTGCATGGAGTTCAGAGCTGTATTCTTTGTCATTTCTGATATCTGAAAGTAATTCACAATCACTAGTGCATATTTAGTAATTCAACTTTTGTCTATCTTGTTGCAGATGGAATCACTATATCCCAAATGAAAATAATTTGTCTCTGTGGATCCTAATTTTGATGGAAACATAGGACAAAGCTCGAACCACATACACATCAGGAGAAGAGATTTCAACAAACATCAACACTGCCCAAGTTTGCTGAGAAGCACGAGTTTGAAAATTCAAATATTTTTATGAAATGCGCTATACTGAA